CAAAATAATACTTCTCATAGATTTTACTAATAAAATATTCTATTGGCATTAATTTGTTAGTCAAGTGTCTATTCACAATATCCTCGCTCAAGAGGAAACAGAAAACTTATATTACTTTTGTATGTAGCTGTGTTATGTACTGATATTTACGTGGAATGGAATTATTTCAGCAGCCAACTGAGGCCAGCTCCACAGGGGCCGGAGCGGGCATGGTGACCCAGTCACACGCTAGCTCCACCCTGAGGCTAAGTGTGTCACTCTCCAAGCTGGTATTCAGCACGTTTTAATGTTTTTTTGGCAACTATTTGGCAAAAGTCACATGATCTTCTGTCTGCCGCTGATATGTATATTACTGAAGCCTGGTTTCAGTTTTTATTTTAAAACAATTCTCAATACAAATACGATTCATAAGACATATGTAACATGTTTTTTTCTGTTTTTAGTTGCATATTCTCATAGATTAGATGGCTAGATTAGATACAGAAAGACTTAAAAGCCAACCAGTCAGATGACAGACAGACAGACAGATAGATAGATAGATAGATAGATAGATAGATACATACATACATACATACATACATACATACATACATACATACATGCATACATACTTCTCACATGCGATTCAGTGATGGTGTTTGACCATTGAATAGTGCATTGCCTGTTACTTGTACACAAAAATGCCTCCCTGTTTGCTGAAGCATTTCCGTGTCTGACTTTCAGACAGGCATGTCCTGTAGTGGATGGCTATGGGGAATACAATTTCCCTGCTCCATCAAGCTGTGGCTTTTCACTAATGAATTCCCTTCGGACTATGAATAGCAATTTAGAATGACCAGGTTTTTTAGCCTTGGTCTCAGGTTGCCAGTGTACTGAAGATTTTGTTCCAGCAGAATTGTTAAATTAAGCAAAATTCAGTCACCTACTCATCCAGGCTGGGAGCAGGTGGTATTTAGTGGAAAGCTAAATGCTGGCTGGTCCACCTGGGTGATCTCAATGCGATCTGATAGGTCAGCCTTTCCCTTCATTTACATAAAGCCCGGGCAGTGAACGTGGCTTGAGGGTCTTAGCGGGTCTTCGGTTCCCTCCCCTTCCCTTTTCACGTTACCTCTCTAGGGCTGATCATCCAGCCACATGGCTTCTCCTACCACTACTACACTGACATCCAGCTGGACTGACCTTCCCTCCTTACACACCGTGATCTCTGTTTGGATCTCTGCATGCCTTACTGACACAGCAGTTTGGATGAGGGATCACCACCTCCATCTGAAAACCAAGCTTCTTGTTTTTCCCGCCAGCTCAACCACCCAGCATGACATCATTCTACAGCTTAGATCATCAACATTGTTTGCATCGGGGTCTACATGGAACTTAGGAGTAATGACCACATAGAAGTGATGTCCCAGTGTTGTAGGGTCACCCTATATAACATCAGTAAGATTGGGCCATTTTTGTCTGAGTATGCAGTTCAGCTTCTAGTCAAAGCCCTTGTTAATTCATGACTCTTTACTGACAGGTTTACTGACTTGGCTGCCAAATCACTGTAGATGATTCAAAATGTGGCCGCTTGTGTGGTCAATCAGTCGAAATGCTCTCATGTCACACACCTACTTGTTCCTCTGCATTTGGTTCCTATATGCCCTTGTATCGAGTTCAGGTCCTTGGTGCTGGCTTTCAGAGCCGTTAATGGATGGGCACCCACCTCCATCAAGATGCTCCTCAAGACCACCAACCCTTCTCACCCTCTTTTCAGCAAAGTAGACCTGGAGATCCTTCTCTCATGTCAGAAGTTTCACCGTAGATGTTTTTCATATGTGGTTATGTGATTGTGGAATGAGTTGCCAAACTACATCTGGTGATCAGATTCCCTTTCGAATTTTAAAAAAATGCCCCAAGATCTGTTCCATGAGCATTATACTAGCTGATATCACTTGATGTTCCTCTGCTGGTCTCTTATGTTCCTGAATACTCTTAGTATTACACTTTGTCTTTTGATTGTTAGCTCTTGCTATGTCTGAAATGCTCATGCTCAGATGTTACTTTCACTGGTACCTGGCCACTGACTGGAAACTCAGCCTTGCAACATGGGTAGTGAACTGTTGTATGTTTAATATACTATTTGTTTCACTTTTACATTGCATTGGACAAATGTGTCTGCCAGTTAAATATAAATGTGAATGCAGCACAATGCCTGATGTAAAATTATAGGAGTATTGCTACAAGTAAAGGTGAAAATATTTGTTAGTTTTGTGAAAACGATTGAATAGACGTCGCAAATACATGTGGCTACTTCCCCCTGGTGGTTAATAAAGAAAATGCAGTATCGACCCTTGTCGTAAGTGAAATGAATTCGTCACCATGTCAGAACCAAAGCAGACGTCTTCGTTTAACTGTAAACAAATAAAAAACAAAGGAATGTTTTAGAGCAACAGATGTAAATGTAAATAATACATTTTACTCTACAAAAAAAAAAAAAACAACCCTCATTTATCTAACCATAACTAAAATATATGAGATCACTCCACCCTGATGGGATGGTACCCCATCATGACAGATCCCTTCCTGGACAAGGTCTGGACCCCCATGACCCTGAATAGCACAAGTGGGTATAGATGTATGGATGGATGGAGATTTTGTAGGCCTATTGACTTAATGAATATGACCATTCTCCTCTACATGCTCTCATTAACAAAGTGTTTCACACACCAGAACTGCCCCAGGCTAGATCACAGCATCCAATGGACACTGTCCATCCCTGGACAGTGAAATGAATGGAAATCCCAGAACAGTGGTCGTTTCTGAGATGCTGGAACCGCAATGTCACAAAGTCAGGGCTGGTGGATCTTATGGACGACATCGGCAGCTGCCTTGGCTGCCACCGTCTCTGCAGTGCCGGCATAGAACAGCTATGCGATGCGTGGTTCCGAAGGCGGTACCAGTTGGCTGGCGGGGAAGGTGCCACGTGGGGAGGAGCCCAATAGTGATAACAAGTAGGTGCACTTAACAAAGTGGGAGCTGATCATGCATCTCCTTAGACTGATTTCAGCCAAGCATCTTCACTGAGCCTTACACACATTATAGACACCCATGCTGTGCTATTCCTATTCTGGCGTTTTAAAATGTGCAATCAAGCAGTGACAAAAATGTTCTTAACCATTAAAAAGATTTTCCATGGTGAGGCAACCAATTTACATACTTATTAAATAAAGACTGAAAAGGAGAAGACAAAAAAATTCATTTTAATGAGACATATCGCAAAAAAAGCAAAAAAACATACATGAAATGTCTAGAACATACATGGAAAACCTAGAAAACTTCAAATAAACAGGAAAATACGAGTTTAGTTTATAGTTGGGTTTGCAAGGCCCTCTAAAGGCCCCTTTTTAAACAGGAAACCACAACAGCAGAAGCTGAAATGTCAATTTTTGTAACAGTGGTATTTTCCCCCAAATACTGCGGAAATAAACATTCAATGGAAACTTAATTTCTAAACAATCGTGAAACAATTTCAATGAAAGGTCTAACATAAAACATAAAAACTTGAGTTCTCAGATCGTATTTAATAAAATATACAGTATAAAAATTAATTCTGTATATACAAAATGGATACATTTATATTCTCTTTTTCCATTTTTCAAGCGAGCAAAAATGCTCAATTTCAAAAACCAAACTAGATGTACTAGTGATTAATAAATAACATTCTAAAGGCCATTAAAAAAAGTCATGGGGGGAGGGGGAGTAAACCATAAAACCATAAAATGGCTCGTTTTCATATTTGCACCTATGTACTAGCTGCTACTCTTGTTTTTCTCTCATTGAAGAAGCTTTTGAGCATGAGGACCTGGCCAATGCTGACCACACCCAGAATGACAGCCTCCCCCATCGACCAATAGGACACACGTTCATGGAGATGATCGGCTCGGGTCCGGTCCTGCGCTTCCCTCAGCCGGTACCACGTTTGGGACTCGATCACCAACTTCAGCATCTCATGGATGGACAGGCAGGCGGATTCCATCTACAATTACACAAGTGAGATGGTCAGCTATAAATCATCTAAAACGGTCCTTCCAGGCTCACTGTCGGGATAGACTTGGGAACCATACCTGGGTCAGGGCTGTAGCTCTGTTCATTTCTGGCAGGAGGGGCTCTTCTTGACCCACTTGGAAATCCAGGTAGACGGTTTTATGGGAGAAGGTGGAGAACTCATTGCTGAAGCAAACCTTGTACACGCCTTTCCTTGTCGTGGTGTGAGAGAAGCTGTCGTACTGCTTCTTCTTTTCCTGATACAGAATGCTGTTCGTCGGGTCTGTCACTGAACAGTCCACATCGTAATTCCCCCCGGCAATAACCTTAGTGCACAGAAAGAACGAGAAACTTCTGGATTATAACGACATTTATTACTACAGTAGAAGTCAGATGACTGCATAGTTAGGTGACAATAAGCTGTAATACAGGCCACCAGAACAGTCATGACGATGCTGGTTTAAAATTCATATGTAAAGCGTAACAACAAAATGCTCAGGATAGTGGTGGGACGTACATTAACATTAAACTGGATTTTTATTTCCTCCATCACGCGGATGAGCATGAGTTCCGGAATTAAACGATACGTTTGTATCGCATCGTAGTGAATAATGACTGTACTTACCTGAAAGTCAATGTCAAACTTCACTCCTGCGTCGATTTCCTCGTAGTAACACTGTTTTTCGTTATCCGGCAATTCGAACGTCAGCTCTGTACCAAAACTCAAAGTGACAGACAGCATCAGACTGCACAGCGCAAGGGGCCGCATAGTGCACAATGACGAACAAGAGGGTAATAAACACTTTATTTCACAAAATACCAAGACCCTTTCAAGCTGATCGAAGAAAAGCCCCCCTTTTTAATAATCCTAAACGAAGCACGGGAGCCTCGATCTTACCCCCATACTCTGACGTGGCACGTCGCTTTAGCGCTTCCGGGGTGTTATACTGCGTGCAGATCTGTAAAAAACACTAACATGCTCTTGATATATTTGGTAAAATTACGATGCACCAGAGACTTTTTCGGTCTCATTTTGTTTTCACGAAGTTTATTATGCGCTTCCCATTAGAACAACGTATATATATTTTTTCAAGGCAATAAATACGATTGATTCGTATACGAATGTACGCGAGCCGATGATCATCTTTTATTCCTAAACATGTAAGATGGAAGTTCAAAAGCGACCGATTTAATAACATTCGCTTTTAACTTAGGCCTGAACTTAATTTCGCAATTATTTTATTGTAATTTAATTTTTGTTCTCGATATTTGACATTTTCTTCATCTAAGTTTGTAAAATTTCATGTAAGTGTGTAAATTTAAAGACCAATGAAACACTCCAGTTTAATTTTAAGTTTCTCCGGCCGTCACGTCTTTTATCTGCTGAAGAAACATATTCACTCCATAAATTTTTAATAGCTATATTATTATTTTTTATTTGTCATTCAAAGCACTGCGTTAATTTGTCCGGGTATTCCATGCGACTTACAGTGCTATTAGTGCATTAAAATTATATGCAAAAATCAGTATACTGGCTGCAAGCAGGCGATTTTTATGTGTTGTTTTCCTGCAGGGACCTTATCGCTTCTGTATTCCTGCTTGCCAGGCGCCTTTTCTTTGGCTTGTTTGTAGAAACTACGGTCGAACTTCAGGCTCAGGTAGGATTCTGCCGCAAATTCCACACGATCCTCCGGGAAAACGACACCATTAAGCGGGGAGCGCCTGCACGGCGATATATTATTTATATTCGCTGTGTAAAATATTAATTCCGCGCATGGTAATATTCGGGCGGTGAAGGGCGCTGTTCGGGCCTTGATCGTCGGCTAGAGAAGCGCAGCGGGGCTGCCGGAGGTTTATCGGGGGGCGATGGGTATGCAGCACGTCTGGAAGGCGCTGATGGGCTTCGTGGAGAGTCACGCCACGGGCATCGCCGCCACCGCCGCCGCTGGTAAGCCTCCGCAAAGCCGCCTCTGCTCAGGCCGAGGTCGCCTCCCTTTGCATTTACCTGTTAACTTTATGTTTGTTTGTTTTTAGTTTTCACTTCCGTATGGGTCATATCTACTATGCAGTGTCCTTTTCTGTAGATTTTTTTTTATCTGCCATAATATATTGATAAAAACTGAATGATATTTCAGCAGTTTTTTTTTATCATGAAATTATAAATAAACGTGCCTAAGTCCTATTTTTGTTTGTTTTTATATAGATTGGGTAGATGTTGCCAGTTTTGATCCCGATTGTAGGCGCTACAACTTCTGTATAGTAGAAAACTGCGTATTACTATATTTTGTTTGTCTTCTGTAATGTCGCGTTAAAAAACATTGTTTTTACAGTGGGAAACAACACACAATATTAGCCAGAAGTTTAATGAGTTTTATGTTCTATGGTTTTATTTCACACTCTTAGCTGATATTAAAGAAATAAATGCTATATCTAAATTTCAGATGATTTTTGAAAAGGATCAAAACGTAGGCCTACATTGTTTTCACTCTTTTATTACCTCACTCTCAGTCCTATACTTAGAACTTAATCTCTGAAGTTATATGCCTAACGTGATGGAATCTTCCTACAAATCAAAACAGCTATGTCCATTTACTTGTTATTTTCATTATAAAAGAAACTAATAATTTTTTTACATTTTAAGAATTTTCATTTTTTCCGATATATTAAGAAGCACTACATTAAACTGCGGGTTTTCACTATAGTGTTCTTCATGAATTAATAACCTTGTTGGCTGCTTGTTTGTAGTCAAACATTAATGTAAAATATTGCATCGTGTCCCCTTTGAGGTTATAAACTGAATCTGATAAACCTTTTGTAAAGAACAATCTTCAGTTGACATGTCTTTTCGAGTAACGTCCTATCAGACTTGAACATGTGCAGTATATGGCAAAAGCCAGTCTTGTATTGTACAGTATATATGACTTCTCCCCAGTAATAACTGAGTTAAGTCCCAAATGACTTACTTCCTCACTTGCGGGACAAGTTCATGGATACCTGTAGTAATGTGTCTGTGAAAGATGTAATGTTTGGTTTGTCAGCGCCCCAGGTGAATGCTTTGGATTTCCTTGCAGGGGTTGGTTTGGTGACACTGCGAATCTGGCTTGCTGGGGGCGTGTGTCACAGTCGAGTCAGACTGGAGGGAAAGACCGTGCTGATCACTGGAGCCAATACTGGGATCGGGAAGGAGACTGCAGTAGACCTGGCCCAAAGAGGTGAGCCTGGGTTCTCACATACATGACAGTCTGCTGAGTCATCACATGACAGTCTGCTGAGTCATCACATGACAGTCTGCTGAGTCATCACATGACAGTCTGCTGAGTCATCACATGACAGTCTGCTGAGTCATGTCAGGGCACGCTGGAGGGACAGTCACGTGTGTGTGTATTTAGGGGCGAGGGTCCTCATCGCCTGTAGGGACCTGTCGAGGGCCAAGAAGGCGGCCGCAGACATCAGGCAGCGGAGCGGTAATGGCAACGTCGTGGTGAAACTTGTTGATTTGGCGTCGCTGGATTCGGTGCGTCAACTTGCCAAGGACATCCAGGAGAACGAGGAGAGGCTGGACATCCTCATTAATAATGCAGGTACTGACTGGGCGACACCTGGACCAGGAAAAAGGGGCGGGGCATGATCTGGAGTCAGGTTGCCCTGTTGGTCCAAGTGGTGGCTGGCAATCGGTCTTGGTCAGTCACATGTCTGCACTGTGACACGCCCCCTTTCGCCATTTTGAGTGTATCGTGGATGTAAACACATTTGGTTAACAAACTTAATATTTCATATTCAGTTTTTTTTTTTCTCCACAAAAATGTAATGTTTTATGTAATCAGTAATAAGCAATTTTCGTTACCAAAACACACTAGTAATTTAGCTGTTTAAGAAAGGAAAAGAGTCAAGAACACCACAACCGGCTCACCAGGAGCAATTTGGGGTTCAGTGTCTTGCTCATAGACACTTCGATGGGGTCAGGAGGAACCAGGACTCGAACCTGCAACCCTCCCATTGCCAAACGATAGCACTACCTCCTGCGCCACCATCCCCCCGCCCCAAACGTGGTTTGTCAGGGCACAGCACAGCACAGTGACAGCCTTATCCAGCATTGTGGCTTATAATCCATGCACGCCAATATACACATATATGCACTGATAAACGTGTAATTACAGTTTTGCTGTTTACTTTAGTTTTTAAAAAGCATTCACTCTGTAACGCTAGTTTAACACGAACAGATAAACCCATTTCTGCTACCCTCCGTAGTGAGGCTAGCTTACTAGCGTAAGTGATCCAATGTGAAAATACCAACTTTAGAAGACAAAAAAAATGCATATTCAGTAATATTTCTCGAACAAAAAACATCTTACTTGCCTTTATGCCTCTTCGTTACCTCCTCTACCTGCTGTCCATATCCTCTTTCCCAAGTAGGAAACCGAAAAAATCTCATGTTGTGGTCCACCTTTTTGCCATTTCTACCATGTGATTTAGTATGACGGCCTTTCACACAGCACAAGTGTCCCGTCTTACCAAGGATAATGCCGCATGCAAATGCTGCCACTTGAGTTGTATACACCCACAATGGCGATTCTGCGGCTATAGTGAGTGTGACGTCAACTGTCAAAGCCCGATAGGAGGCCCCAATGTTGTGACTGTGGTTGGATTGGTGGGGGGAATGGGGCGCATGAATAAGCGCTATGGGTTGATGACCGACCAACCCCCACTTGACCAACAGGGTCCACTGTTGTCATCCATAGCTAAACAGTTGGTGTATTATTGTTATTCGTTTACAAACTATTTGTATTAATGCATCAAGTCACTATGTCTTTGTATAGGTATTATGATGTGTCCAAAATGGAAAACTGAGGACGGCTTTGAGATGCAGTTTGGTGTCAATCATCTAGGCCATTTCCTGTTAACCAACTGCCTTCTGGACTTGCTGAAGAAGTCGGCTCCAAGCCGCATCGTTAATGTCTCCAGCTTAGCTCACGAAAAAGGTACGTCTTCCTGACCTTTGTTGACCATACGTACATTTCATTATTTACCCATACATTTTTTTAAAATTAGATGCCTTTCTACCAAAGTGACATATACACTATATGGACAAAAGTATTGGGACACCTGGCCACTACACCTACAGGAACTTCTATGACGTCCCATTCTAAATCCATAGGCATCAATATGGAGTTGGTCCCCCTTTGCAGCTATAACAGCTGCCACTCTTCTGGGAAGACTTTCCACAAGATTTAAGAGGGTATCTGTGGGATTTTTTTGCCCATTCATCCAGAAGAGCCTATCCCAGGAACAATGGGCGCAGACAGGAACCAACCCTGGGCAGGCGCCAACACACCTCAGGGCTAAAGATGAATAATATTTTACTAAAGTAAACTAAGTAAACTTTATTTGTGAAAAAAGCACAAGTAATCATGAGGAATAGTCATTCATACTGGACATTTCGATTATGTGTCATTAAGTACTACGATATAAATTACAGGCGGGGTAATCAGCTGGGTGTATAGAATAGTGGAACAGCAAGTACACAAGTACTCATCTCTCTCAATCCACAATCGGTGCGTTCTCTGTCCTCGTGATCGTGCGATCGTTCTTGGAAAGCAAATTCACAAGACCAGTCTTGCCAAGACCACAAGTACAGTCTTTGCGTTCTTGGTATTGAGATTCACCCAAAGCTGGAAGCATATATCTGTCCAAAACGTCTTGATATGCAAAATCTCACTGATGCTCATTTTATGTAAAATAAAAATGACTGCATCATAAGTCATATTGAACTAAATCCCATGTTCTCTGCTACTGAGTATGGTTGTCTGTCTATAGGGATAAACATCCCAATAACCTTTTTTATTTGTTTGTTTATTTGCTCGGTCTGAATTTCCTGAGAAAAGTGCCTTACATTACAGGAGGAGAATAACTTGCAGAGGCTGTTTTTTGCCTCGTCTCAGTTGTATACATTCTCAGATGATGTCTCATATGAGTTAGCATGTTTGATGAGTTACCAGCAACTTATCTCAGGTTGGCATAACAAGGCTGACAGCCTTGGTCTTATCAGCTCCTCTCTCCAGCATTGGTGTAATTCACTGGGAAGCCATAATGATCTCAAACTGCTAATTCTGGCTGACTTAGCCAGTTAGCATAATGTTAGCATACAGTTTTCTGTGTTGAACAGAAAGCATAATGTTAGCATAATGTTTTCTGTGTTGAACATTTACTTGTGAATTTAGGTTTCGTCCATGTCAAGAAATGAGTTCTTTCATTTCATTGAACTGAAAATGAGAATGTACCTTTCAGGCACATGTGTACCATTACAGGCCTTGTCTTCAAACTTAAATGTAGACCTGAGCTGCTCCTCAGCAAAATCAATTGAAAACTTATGATATATTTTGAATTGGCAAACAAATATCAATATATCATCGATTTGGGAGGTCTCTGCCAATTCCCACCAGTATATATTCAATATATTTACAGTTTTAAAGCATGATGAACAAACATACATGAGATTTGAAACGCCGCCTGACCTCAGCATGACTGTGAGTCCTTGATTTAGTTTTCGGGGTCTGAGCACAGGGTCAGCCATTTATCCAGTGCCCCCCCTCCCCCCCCCCAGAACAATTTTCAGGGGGGTAAAGGCCCGGTGGTCATGCGTCTATTCAGCAGACTGCAGGATTTGAACAGGCAGCCATCCAGTTACATGTACTAAGTTCCAACCAGTGGAGGAAGATAATGACTTTCTTTACCAGGTCAGATCCATTTTGACGACATAAACCTGGACAATGACTATGGTCCCCTAAAGAGTTACCGCCAGAGCAAGCTGGCTAACGTCCTGTTTAGCAGGGAGCTGGCGGCTCGTCTTAAAGGTTTGTGAACCGGAAACGTCCTTTTCGGCCCAGTCAATGTGAGGCTCCCCGTACAGTGTTCCCATGTGTCGTACAGGTACAGGGGTAACGGTGTACAGTCTACACCCTGGTGTGGTCCGCACCGAGCTGGCGAGACACCAGTTGACTCCCAGTGCCCTGTGGAAGCGGATCTTGATCGTTCCCATATACCTGCTGATGAAGACCCCTTGGCAGGGAGCTCAGACCACCATCTACTGTGCTGTGGAGGAGAGTATCGCTGACGTCAGCGGTCTCTACTACAGGTGAGCTTTGGTTCGCGAGCCGTTTGACAGACGGCTCGTCCCGTATCCCTCACTTGGTGATGTCCCCTGCTCTGTCTCCAGCGACTGCGCCCCCAAGGAACCTGCTCCGCAGGCCAAGGACGACCAAGCTGCCCGGAGGCTATGGGACCTCAGCACTTCCATGCTGGGCCTCTGAGGGAGTCCTTCTCTGCTGCTTTGGCTCTAGTCCCATGTGCTCTTGTGCAGTTTATGGTTTGCTGTGACCTCCTTTACTACTCTGGCTTGTTGAAGGACATCAACTCACCTTTGGTTTCAGCTGTTCATCCACCGCGGACGGAACTCACGTTCTTTGTATTATACGGCAGTACAGATTGGATTGTGTGCTGTTTTTATAAACAGTTTGTCTCAGGATATTTTAGGCTCAATCTTAGTTATAGTCTAAAACTAACATATAAATTAACAAAATACAAATTAAATTAATAGTGTAGTTTCCAACAATACCCTAGGAGGACAGTATACTTGGTTTTGGTATTTGTCCAGGGTCTATGTATGTTGAACCCTCAGCATGCTTAAGGTAATCTTAAGAAATTAAGTAATGCTTTCAATCTTATTTACAGTGTATAGTTATGATCATAAGGATTTATAAAACACTGCATATCAAACCAAACAATGTCTTAGATGGTGTTTAGGCTTTGTGACTAGAGGATGCTCAGTGTAAGTACAGTTTAATAAGGGTAGTTTTCCATTGTGCATTTAACATGTTACAGCATATTTTCCATGAGACCATTGCAATTGAGCAATTTTATATAGAGAAAATATTTTTGTCTCTGTCTCTTAATAAAAATATCTGACCATCAGAGCCCGCAGATCATATTTTGTGCGTCAGGAGCTGACAGTATTGGAGGTGGGGGTGGTGTTCAGGGAAGTGTGGCCCACAGCTGAACATGTTCCAGCTGAACTCTTTGCTTAGGTAACTCACCATGATATGTCAGTGCTTGTCATAGCTATTGATCTGGGGTGTGTTTGTACTGATCAGAAACATTTTTGTTGTAATACAGTAAAAATGATGATTAAATGGCTCATTTATGCTAATTAGATTTTTTTACGTTATTATTTATGCTGTTTTTTAAATGAGGCTAATGAAGTTATCTGACACTTGGTCACATTGGTGTACCTGTAACATTCTGTATAAATGAGCTGTTTGTTGTAGTTTTACCATCTAATTTGATCTCCAGTGGATCTTCACAAATTAACAGACTAGTGAGCAGGCACTAGTCTGAATAGCTGAATAGTTTAAATATTCACCCATCATCTTACCAGAGGTGAAGGTCACAGTGCAATGTGGCTACTTACCACAAAGGAGCTAGAGCAGATACACTGTAACAGTTTGCATGTGTTTGAGTAAAAGTATTTTCCAGTCAAATCGTCAAGTAAAATTATTCACTAGTAATGACAAAATAAGACTATTTGGTTCTAATCTGACCTGAAGTGGATCCTTCAGGTTCTAATCCAGTCAATGATCACATTTTCACCTTTTATTTATTTAGTAGACTTTTATCCAAATCCCTCTGGCGACCCTGGGATCTGAACAGGCGGCCTTCCAATCACAGGCAGTGTCCTAACCCACTGAGCCTCACAGCGCCCCCTACTGCTGTGTGTCATATGGCTCATCCTCAAAGGGAATTTTTAAAAATTAATCACTGTTACACATAGTTTGACCTACTTCAGGTAAGTTTGTCAGCTGAACCGGCCTTTATTACAGAGGACCGCCCCACCGTACAGGTCAGATGGGTCTCAACTCAGTCAGATTTTCAGAATTCAATAAGACCACATCTTTGCCCACTAGCAAAAAAGGTCACTAAAACTGGTTATAAATATATAAACATTGTGCAACACAAATCATTTAAAGAGGGAAAGCTTTTCAGTCTGCAATATGCTCCAAATATGTTCAGAAATAGTTTCATTAATTAGACCGATCAATAATCCCAGATGTTTCTGGAACCAAGAACGACTGCTTTGCATTACAGCCATCAGTCTGCCCTCAGCTGCTGCCTGGCAAAAACTACTCAGGCTGAGCAAAATAATGTCACTTACACTAAGGTTTGGGTGCAGTGGGAGTCACATTCATCTTATTTCACTTTAGTACAGTTTGGATAAGTTCATAATATAGTGTTCGAAAATGGATGGGGGTTAAATTACAAAGCCTGAAAGATGAGAGACTCAGCTCACTGCTGACATGGAAGATAATTAATCCAGTGGAGACACTGCATCACTGCATGTGCTGGAACTGGGTCGGGTGGGGGCTGCAGCCTGCTTAGCAGCTCGGCTCCTTTGCCCCCAAATCAGACATCCATGTTTTTCCCTGCCAGCATTCCCAATCCACATCAGGGATTTTCCGTTTTCATTATTCACGTCACGGTCAACGGTCACCGCTGCACCACAATGTCCTGGTTCTCATTAACTCAACTATACCCAAAGATGGTAGCTTTAAATCCTGACATCGTAATGACTGCTATTCATTTCATGCTTATGACCCACACTGCTGAATGCATCAGAAACCCTGCAATTACATCACAGAAATTTACGACATTTCTTGCATATAAGTCTAGACTAGTTGCCCTAGTGTTCTGCAACTGTAATACAGGTGTGAGGAATTAAGGCTACAAATGGCACCCCCTGGTGGTGAGAGAAGATGATTTTTCACCCCCAGAGCTGCTGGCTACATTGCAGCCCCCACATTCTGCAGCATTTCATTAATGCTGATTAACTGGGTTCTGAAAATAGCAGGTGTCTAGGAGATACATTTCATTTCAGTTTGCACCAAAAATGGACAACATACCTAAAATAAACATTACAACCAACCCCAATAAAGACAATTCCAGACTAAAAGAGTTGCATACTTTTTTATTTAACTTAGAACTTGTAGTATTTTACTAGAAAAAAGCAAGATTGAGAAACTAAAATTCTCTTCTTTTTCAGCCAAAGACTGTTCAGTTTCCCCGTAATGTAAAGAATTCAGATAATATTGATAGCAGGAATAAATTCTTAGAACAGAATATACAAAAACTCGAAACCTTCTCACTCTACTGAATCATTTAATATAAACACAGGAATCTGAATGAATAATTTACATACAGCAAATTCTAGATATTGGCCAGCTTTCTGATCTGATCAAACAAGATTTTTAAAAAAGTGTGAAAAAGGAAACTGTACAATGTCAGTTCTGCGTGTCTTTCCAGTGGTTAAACTGAGGAAACTGATGCCTGCTGGACACCGTCAGCACCCAGCTACAGGTGGTCAGAGATGCTGGGGGGGGGTGAGGAGGCCAGCAGGAGGCGTCTGGGACACATCCGGTAGGTGGGCGCTGTCCCTCTGCGCCGCGCTCCATCATCTGACCTCAGGCAAATTGACCGAATTCCAGGTCTTGTCTGTACAGTTAGCTATCTCCCAGAAGACCAGGAGATACACCCTGAAGCCTGGTCTGTCCCCATCTCTTACTATGGACACAGTGTGAAAAATATTTGCATTTTTGTGAGTTTTTCTGGCCCGTAAATTCTGAGCTGCTCTGAAAATGCAGCTGGGCCATGGTGGTGAAATGGAAACAACTGACAGTCAGTCATCACTAAACCCTGAAAGAGACATTTATTTCTTAGATGTCTGTACAAAACACCCCCTTCCCCCTCAAAGGGACCAAGCCAATTGGCCCATTTCACCCCCAGAGCTGCTGGCTACATTGCAGCCGCCACGTTCTGTGGCATTTCATTAATGCTGATTGACTGGGTTCTGAAACTAGCAGGTGTCTAGGAGATACGGACAGACCTGACATTTCAGTTTGCACAAAAAACAAACAAACAAAAAAAAACGCCAACCTCCATTACTGGGATTGCAGATACAAACCCAAAGACCGTGGCGATACCATGTGACAGTTTGAGTTTAAACCAGGAACCATCAGATACAGAAATCAGGCTGTGGGTTGCTACCAGCCATCCAACTAAATCACTAATGCAGAACAAGAAAAAAAGATATATTACAGCTAAACCTGCAAATCAAATTCCCTCTAGGAAACCAGGATGGCCAACTGCAACATGGGAGATGGTAAATTCATTAACCGCAGAACTAGTCTTACAATGTCATTGACCTGCTTCTACATCTTATTTAATCCCAAGAACGACACACGCAGAACTCCAAGGAAGCCTTAACAATACTGAGCTGACTCCTCGCCACTTTCAAAGAAATGGCGGTGAAGAAACGACCTACAGATTCTATAACAAGACATGATCGATCCCCATCTGACCGCTGGCTACTATCATGACCTACATCTGCAGAACACGCGCACTGACTGCTTCAATCACAGCCGCACAGTGTAGTAACCAATAACCAACTGGTAGAAAGCGTGGAGCTGGAGGTAACCCTGTGACATGCATTTACCTGATCAGCCCTGCCGAAAGGCTTTCAGGAGATCCTGTTTCCCTCAACTAGTGCCAAATAAAACCAATTTTAATCCAGGAATGCTCGAGTCTCAACTCACTATCCCCCAATTTCAATCCAAAGGAAAAATGTAAAGTATACCTTCCCATTATTACTTGTTATCCCTGTCTCAGACTTCTAAAAAATAGAAATATGACTTCTGTATCTTCAGCATCCCTGGTTTAATCTTCATTTTGATAAATTTTGACATAGATCCTTTGTCACTATAAAATAATGGTATCTTCCAGTACAGAATCGCCCAGGAAGCCACTTGGCAGCAAAAATGGGCCCGGCCAACAGCAGCAGGTGGAGCAGAAGGAGGAGCCAGTGACAGGCCCCGCCCACCACCTGTCCCTCCATGGAGATGAAGGTGGCAGATGCAGGCTTCTCCCCATCAATGGACTGGAATGGCATGAAAGACAGAAGGTCGACAGGATCACCACCGCCTGGAGCGTATCTGGACAGGAAGACGCACGTGTATGAAGGAGGATGGCTGGACGGAGGTCAGGAATGACAGCTTCTGAAGTCAGTTTCTTCACTGCATCTCATGGGGGCAAAGCAGGTAGCTGAGGAAGGCATGTCATTCACAGTCGGTCCGCCAGCTGTCCTCGTCCCCAAGACTAGGGGCTGCTGGGAATTAGGACATGCAGGACAGTCACATTAGCGGGACTGTCTAGTCACGGTTTCTGTAAGATCCCTTCTGCCAAGTCTCCAGATTCTACTGGCAGTATAAAAAGGAGAGATAAAACTCCGCAAATGTTCATGATTGGTTGCAGAATGATTTAATGCCCCACATGTAATTCATGGGATTTTTAAAAAGCGTTTAAAAGTAATTCAATAACTGTCACACGCAGGACTTTCACTATGGGGGGGGGGGGCTGTTACTGATTAAGCATGGGGGGGCAAATGCTTTGGCGTGCCGGAACTAAAGCCGCAGCAGCTTCCGGCTGTTCCCGTCGTCGTGGCGACAAGGTGACGCATGACATCATAACGGCATCCAAAGCAGCTGCCCAATCACAGATCGTCGCCGGCTCTTTCTGTCGTTCCTGTGAACTGAATTTTTTTAAATACATAAATTATGTAATGAAGCCCATCTACAATACAATAATCATCACCTTCATTAAAAAAAATATATATAATAAATAAATACAGACTTTGACAAAACCATCACTGCCAGCGGATTTATCGGAGGACAGGTGGCTGTGGCAGAGTGGAGGGGGGGCTCGTCTAGCTGCTGCTGCAGAGATCTACTGAGCGCTCCCCGGAACACCGTCTGGATGGGGATCTTCTCAGGACTGCACAGTGATAGGACGGGCTGAAGCAAGCCATTCATTCACATGCTGGCCCTGGAGGGGTCCGGGTGGCGAAGCTGGCCTCTAATGATACCCCCCCCTTCACTCCACGGGCCTGCAAACGAGGCCGCGTTCTTCAGGAGGTCCACCAAACACAGAGAGAACAGTAACATTGTCCATAAAAGACTAGTGGGTGAGGAGAGCAGGGGATGGATTACAGGTGACCGTTTTCTACACATTTTACAAAAGAGTGAGGTAGTTACATGTAAAAAAGGAACAAAAAAAAAAAACAAACATAAAAGTCAGGAAACCAAAGAAAAAAATATAAAAAATATTTCAATTTAATGATGGGGCATTTGTACAGTGATTTAAACTGATATCACAAAAGGAAAACAAAAATAAATAATCCTGCAACATCCTGGACATGAAAAGGAAAAAAAAAATAAAAAATTCCACCAACGAAGAAGAATCCTTCAGAAAACTCGGACGTCTCAGTCCAGTTTTTACTAATCAACTGAAATTCAAAAGCTTTTCGCTTTTTTTTCCCTCTACAGCTTAACCCACTTATTCACGTTCTGAACTCGAAGGGCTTTGAAAGAATATCGATCTGACTACTGTGCAGAGATAAACAGCG